TGTGCGGCCAGCAGCACCGCTTTCCTCTACCACGACTACTGCGTCATCGGGGCCGGCCCCTCGGGCTTGCAGGTGGCCTATTTCCTCCAGCAAGCTGGCCGGGACTACATCGTCTTCGAGCGGAGCCATGCTCCCGGCAGCTTCTTTGCCCTCTACCCTCGCCACCGCAAGCTCATCAGCATCAACAAGCGGTACACAGGCAAATCCAACAGCGAGTTCAACCTCCGCCACGACTGGAACTCTCTCCTCAGCCACGACCGCCGGCTGCTTTTCCAACACTACTCCCACGACTTCTTCCCTGATGCAGACGCGATGGTCCATTACCTGGAGGACTTTGCTTCCCTGCTGAAGCTGCAGGTTCAGTACAACACGGCCATCATCCATGTGACGCTGGAGAGGGATGGGCAGGCCTGGAACGGCCACTACTTCCTCCTGACTGACCAGGACAGGCAGAACTACAAGTGCAGGTAATGGGCAAACCCGTGGCTAGCCACACCACTCTTCACGGGCATCTTTGAAGTCATAAAATCATAGAAAAAAATAGGTTGGAAGAGACCCATGAAGGTCCTTTCGTCCAAGCCCCCTGCCCCAAAGCAGGTCCAGTGACATCAAGTTGCTCAGAGCCTTACCTAGTTGAGGCACAAGTATCTCCAAGGATGGAGGTTTCACAGTCTCTCAGAAACTTGACCACCATCACCAGGGCTTGACCACCATCACGGGGAAAAACTTTCTGCAGGGATCAGTGGGGTGAGTGGAATAACTGCTCTAAGGAAGGCATTGCCTTTCACAAGCAACGTTATGCCTCGGACAGCTGAGAAGCTGGCAGGGCGGACACAAACTGGCTGTGATTGCCATTGCTGCAGTTTCCGTGCTTGATACGTAAGCTCAAAATCACTATTGTCACTAGATAATTGCTCTCTGTGAAAGAAACAACTCAGTCATACTTGTAGCCGCTTCTGCCTTTGTGACAAACTCGGGTGAGTCAGTGCAGCGACACCTCACCTCCAGTAACCCACAGATGCTTAGAAGAATCAATATTTAAAAGTATGTCCCAGCCAACGGAAGCCCTGGGTTAGTACAGAGCCGGCAGGAGGGAACCAGAGGAAACTGGGGCTGTTGCAGTAGAGGGAGCCAACTGCGAGAAATAACCCTCAAGGTTGTTGGTCCCTAAATTCCCCTTCCCATACTCACGCCTGTGTATCTCGTACCTCCACTGAGCTGCATTCCTAAAAACTGTCTGGAAGTTACTCGTTTGAACGTGGGGAGTGGAGTATATTTCTCACCTCTCCTGAGAATCTCAGCTCTACGACAGCAGGTCGCACTGGCTGTCACTTGCAGGTGCGCTGGCTGGCAAGCTCGGAGGGGACAGAAGGCAATCCCGGACACCCACGCACCACGAGTGAGTTGCTCTCAGGAGCTGCATGAGCAAGGCTGGGACGGCAGTGCTGCTAGCCTCAGCTGCCTGGTGTTTCTGTCTAAGTCGCAAAAATATCCCTAAGGTTCAAGCAGAAGTTCTTACAGAGAGGTATAGAAAGATTACTGTACTTCCAGTGTTCACAATTAGCGATGTTGCTAACGTGTTTTTATGACGAGGAGTTATATTTTAAAATACTGATACCATTTTCTATCCCTCTGAAAAATTACTTTTGTTCTACTGCACTAAGAGGCAACACAAATTTTAAATCAAAGTAATTCTTTATGCAACATATAATCAACCTGTGAAACTTTATTATTATATATATTGTCGGTGAGTATGTATGAGTAGAACTTGCATATTCACGAACAGAGGGAGATGTATACGTGGTACAGCACCCACACTGACTTTTGCTATATCCAACGACCTTCCTAGTCATCTTTGTTGGCCTGAGGATAGGGAAGAGAGGAGCAGGTCATTAGGTGAAGCTGGGGAGAGGTTTCCCTTGAAACCATGACCTGTGCAGCTGATCCAGAGTGGCTGGAGGGGGGACATCACAGCCATCTTCCACAGCGGGAGGAGGAAGGAGCGCTGAGGTGGAGTCCTGCATTCCCTAGTGCTATCCCTGTTTTTGCAGCTCTTTGTTGGTTGCCACTGGGACGTGGGTCCCCAACGTGGTTAACTTTCCTGGCTCAGAATACGTCGAGGGTTACGAGACTGTGTCCATCAACCCAGAGGATTTTGCTGGCCAAACCGTGTTGATCTTGGGCCGAGGGAACTCAGCCTTTGAGACGGCAGAGAACATCCTGGGCGTCACGAATTTCATCCACATGGTGAGCCGGTCCCGCGTGCGCCTCTCATGGGCCACCCACTATGTCGGGGATCTGAGGTAGGAAACCATTCCTCTTCCTCTTTCTAATGCAGCTGAAGTACGAACAAGGAGAATCACTTGATTCTCCAGCTGGACTGTCACAGGAGGTGCTGTGGTCCTGGGGGTCGCAGAGGAAAGAAGGGGCCTTCTCTCTTCGTTTAAAGCAGTCTAGGTTGCAGTTGCTGAACGCAGGAGCTTGATGAGAGCTCTTAGGGATCTGTGTGAAAATGTCCCCTTGGAAACTGTATCATTAAATAGTGGTCCCGATTTGTTCCCTTGCAGTCAAGGAGGAGAGCCGAGAGGTTGACTACATCCTGCAAGGGCAATGAGGCTGTGTTACCTGTGCTGCTCCCGTGAGCCCTGAGGCTCTGGGGATAACCATTGCACTGAAGGGGAGTGTGGGATGCCCGGAAATGATGTCCCATTTTCAGCAGCTGACTAAGAGGTGGATCCCACCTCTCCTCCCCTTATTTTAGCCCTTCTTACATTCTCCTTCTTTTTGTAGAGCAATTAACAATGGCCTGCTGGACACCTACCAGCTGAAATCTCTGGATGGGCTTCTGGAGGGTGACCTGGAAGATCTGGCTATCATCAAGGACAAGAAAGGGAAGCTGCACATCACACTCCGGTTCTACCTAGATAACAGGAACACCAGTGCAGGCATTGACTCCATCACCCTCCCGCAGGACGAACTGGACAATTTTGCCACCCGCGCACCTTACGATCGTGTGATCCGCTGCCTGGGCTGGAAGTTTGACTTCTCTATCTACAACAGGTGAGGGAGAACCATGATCTGTAGTGAAGCAGGTAGTTAGGAGAGAGAGACTATGAAGGGCCTAATTAGGGGGAGAAGGGAAGGGCAGGTCCTCTCCTGGCAGCATTGCTCAGGCGTCCACATGCTCTGAGCTACCTGGTGCTGCACAGTTCTTTGTTTACCCTGCAGTGATGGCCGTGTCCCAGTGGGAATGTGTGTGCTGTTGCCCTCTGATTGACAGGCTAAAGGGCTGACCAAATGGCAGTGTTGCAACCTGGGTGACAGAAAAATCTTGTGCCTTCAGAGCTTATCATCCTGACCTGCCAGATCACATGGAGAAGGCTAGCAATGTTTTGTGTTTTGGGTTGGGTTTGGGTTTTTTTTTGTATCATCCTGACCTGCCAGATCACATGGAGAAGGATAGCGATGTTTTGTGTTTTGGGTTGGGTTTGGGTTTGTTTTTTTTTTTTTTTTAATGAGGATGATACAGGTACAGACTGCTACAGAAAGGTTTTGTCTGCTTTTCTTCCCTGAGGATGCCGCCTTCACTCCACCTTGGTTTGTCTCCTAGAACATCCTGCAGTTGAAAATGATACTGTTAACTTCACTGTCTGCCAAAATTCACTGTCAGTGGCTCAGGCTGGAATTTGATCTTGTCCAGAGCTACCTTGAGATGAGCACCTTTGTCTTCTGGAAGATCCTTGTTGACTTTATGCTCTTGGGAAAGTAGTAGATCCCACTGAAGGTAGCGGGGGCATGAAGTGGTGTCTTGCAGTGGCTGCAATATAATGTGTGCCTTATCAGAAACACTTTTATTTTTCCACCCCTGCCCTTCCTGACAAGCCTGCTCTTCTCTTTTGCACATCAGATCCCTTAGAATGATGCCAGGAAAAGGGAATAAAAAGAAGTATCCTCAGATCAAACCTAGTTACGAGTCCAGAAGCACTCGGGGGCTCTTTGTTCTCGGCACTGCTAGTCATTCTGTTGACTTCAGGAAATCTGCTGGGGGCTTTATCCATGGATTCCGGTATACAAGTGAGTACTGGGGTGTAGAGAAAGGGCAGAGGTGGGAATTGTTCCCCCCTTCGAAGGAAGAGTTCATAGCTTACTGGTGGGAAGAGATCACCCTTAGTCTTGTGCTGGCAGTAGGAACAACAAACACAGCCAAGCTGCAGCTGCGTTGTCTGAAGTGGAGGAGAAGTGACTTGGGGTTGTATCTGAAGTTTTTGGTTGTCTGTCTTTGTTTTGTCTTGTGTCTCTCTTGCCCATTGTCTCTTATTTATGTAACACAATAGATTTCTGCCTGCCAGATGCTCTGCCTCGTGACAGGCTGTGGGTGAGAGGTCTGTGCTGTGGAGTTAAAACCCAGCGGCTTTGGGCAGTAGAGAGAATTTCCATCTTTATGCGTATGTGCCCATCCTTATCATTAAAGGACTGCTCAGAAGTAATGAAATATCCCTGAGGACCCCCCCGCCCCCTCACCAACCACTTAGCATCACATCAGCTTTCAGAGGGCATCTCCACTGCAGTTACCAGCAATTGGGGTGGGAGATCCTGAGCACGGATGAGCTGTAAAGCTTATTTATTGTGTCCTGCCAGTATCTGTGTGCGCTGCAGCAGAGCGATCGAATTTCTTAAAAGCATCAGCTTGGATTTTTAAATAAGCTGTCTCTGTTTCTCTCAATGTCTTAGCTCGTGCCGTCCACCGCCTATTGGAAAACCGTCACCATGGTGTCCCCTGGCCATCCACAGTCTACCCTATTAAACCGCT